GCTTCTCCTTATTTTTATATTTTAGACATCCATCAATTAGTGATGAAAAAAGATTGCTGCGCTGGTGGAAACAACACGAGACTGTGGGCCGCATTTGAATTCGTGACGGGCCGCATTGGGTTAGTTCACCCAAAAATGAAAATTCTGTCATTAATTACTCACCCTCGTGTTGTTCGAAACCTGTACGACCTTCTTTCATTTTCGGAACACAATTTAAGATATTTTTGATGAAATATGAGGGCTCTCTGACCCTCCCATAGACAGCAAGGTAACTACCACGTTCAAGGTCCAGAAAAGTACCAAGATGATCGACAAAGTAGTCCGTGTGACATCAGTGGTTCAACTGTAAAGTTACGAAGCTACAAGAATACTTTTTTGCGCAAAGAAAACAAAAATAACGACTTTATTCCACATTTTTGTCTGTACTGCGTCACTTGTGGACGCGCGTTCTCGAAAGTATCATGAGCGTGTGTGGACGTTTCTGGACCTTGAACGTGGTAGTTACCTTGCTGTCTATAGGAGGGTCAGAGTGCCCTCATATTTCATCAAAAATATCTTAAATTGTGTTCCAAAGATGAATGAAGGTCTTACGGGTTTCGAACAACACGAGGGTGAGTAATTAATGACAGAATTTCATTTTTGGGTGAACTAACCCTTTAAATGAATATTCAGTGTTGCAGTGAATTTACAATATGCAATTGTAATTACTGTATATTCAGGTCAGTTCTTTAATAAAAAGTGTGTTCTCTGTTTTCTAGTATGAGAGTCGTGTGGCTGTTAGGGACCGGGTGGCATTTGCATGTATGTTTCTAAATGACGCTCAGGTAAGACCCGCTCACCCCTGAGCTTATCCAGGTCTCATTGATGTGCACTAAATAATATACTGTCATTTTTTCTCCCTTAAGTTGCCTCGTTACATAGACAAGCTAACCAATGAGATGAAGGAGGCTGGTAATCTGGAGGGCATCCTGCTGACAGGACTGACGAAAGATGGAGTAGATCTTATGGAGAGTTATGTAGACCGAACCGGAGACGTGCAGACGGCCAGTTTCTGCATGCTCAAAGTAAGTGAATGTCCAGAAACAGAACAATACATGATAAAGACAGCTACATAAGAGAATGATCTGCTCTCGGGTGGATGGATGGATGGATGAATGCTTGGGGTCGGTTCAGTTTTTTTATGTTGTTGAAAGGAGTACAAAATACAGTAAAAACTGTAATATTGTGAAATATTATTACAGTTTAAAATAACTGTTTTCTATTTGAATGTATTTTAAAATGTCATTTATTTCTGTAATGCAAAGTAGAATTTTCAGCATCATTACTCCAGTCTTTAGTGTCACATGATCTTTCAGCAATCATTCTAATCTGATGATTTTCTACTCAAGATACATTTCTTATTATTATCAGTGATTAAAACAGTTGTGCTGCTTAATATTTTTGTGGAAACCATGATAGTTTTTTTTTTTTTTTTTAGGATTCTTTGATAAATAGAACATTTATTTGAAATAGATTTTTTTTGTCATTAGAAATGTCTTTACTGTCACCTTTGATCAATTTAATGCATGCTTGCTGAATAAAAGTATTAATTTCTGTCAGAGAAATCTTACCCTAAACTTGTGAACAGGGGAGTATATTACAGAAGGAATAAAAAGGAAAATGCAAACAAATTAAGATGTTCATTAGATGGATAGATAGGATGAATCTAATTTTTGTACATTTACATTTATGTATTTAGCAGGTGCTTTTATCCAAAGCGACTTACAAAAGAGGTGCAAAAGCAATTTGTCAAGAGCCAACATATATACGTAATATACAATGGCAGGTTTATTAGACAACTAGATTAGAAAGCAAGCTAGAGAAGAGGAGAAATGCTGAGAAGAAAAATACGTGTGACTGTGTTGTTAAACCAGGAAAACTGATGTGGATTCAGGTCTGCCTCACAGTTTCCAGATGAGTGGGTTAAATGTTGATTTGTGTGCTGTTTGTTGTGGCAGGGCTCCCCAGGAGAGGTGCTGAAGGACCCTCGGGTGCAGTGCTGGATCGAGAACTATCGCAACCTGTTGGATGCCTGGAGGTTTTGGCATAAACGGGCTGAATTTGACATTCATAGGAGCAAATTGGATCCCAGCTCAAAACCACTTCCACAGGCTAGAATCAAGTTTCTTTCTGCCAGTTGTTAAGCTTTGCATGCATGATATAATCACGGATGAATTTATATCGGTCAGAATTAGTGATTTTTAAAAAATAATCGATCTGATCGATAATTTTATAAAAATCACTAATACTGACCGACATATATAGCTAGCTGTGTGTGTGTGTGTGTATATATATATATGTGTGTGTGTGTGTGTGTGTGAGAGAGT